GCTAACGGCTACCCAACAGGAGGAGAGCTAGTAACGTTAGCAGCACCGCTAACAGCTAACCAACGGAGGTTCACTTCAGTTACATGATGATGCCTTCAGGCTCTGCTCAGTGAACATGAGTACTGGCTGAAGGTACATTATAACGTTATCATGATGTGTTCACATGTCATCTGTAAAATGTAGTTTTGGTGATAAACTAGAATAAATCCAGTAGTTTGAAGGAGATGTTTTCACATGAATATAAAATAGATATTAGAGATGAATTATGAGCTGTTTAACTTCCTACATGAGCTCTAAACTCATTATTATGCAGCATTAAAACTGATGAGATTTGTTTTAATCAAATAAAATACAATCTTTTATTTCCTTATCATTTGAATGTATTTCTAAATATCCTCCTCACACACATACACACACAAACGTTCTCACACTAACCTCCACTCGTGAGGGCTTTGTGGATGAACTCAGCAGCCGGATAGAAGTTGACGCTCATGTCAAAGGTCGGCGAGTCGTGAGCCTCGATGCCGTGATAGGTGACGTCCATCCCGGCGTAGTACTCGGCTCCACCGCGCCACTTACTCTGTGCACAGTTGAGGATGTGAGTGATGCCCAGTTTGGACAATTCACGGCGGTCTGACGCGATGTCTCTGCAGAGAAGAGGAGTCCAGAATCAGTCCGTCAAACTGATGTGTGATTTATATATTTACATAAAAGCGACGTAAACAAAGGCAGATGTGTCACGCAACTAAGTTGAGATCTGGAAGCAACCTCCGGGGAGGTGAAGAGTGAAGTCGATTCTTCATGTGTTAAAGCTGCATTCTCTCTAGTGTCCACCAGGGGGCGACTCCTCTGGTTGTATAGAAGTCTATGAGAAAATGACTCTACTTCTCTCTTGATTTATTACCTCAGTAAACATTGTAAACATGAGTTTATGGTCTCAATCTCTAGTTTCAAGTCTTCTTCAATACAGCATGATGTTCATTTAGTGCATTATGGTCCATTTAGAGTCACACAGACCATAAAGCAGGGGATGCTTTAGGGCGGGGCTACACGGTGATTGACAGGTCTCTACCAGAGACGTATATGTCGTCTCTACGTCACTCCTCCTCAGTCCAGATATGGTCACTTCCTGTTCACTGGTTGCGAAAAACAACAACATGGCAATGTCCGTAATCCAAGATGGCGACGACAAAATCACCGAACTCGATGCTTCAAAACATCCACAAACCAACGAGTGACGTCACGACGACTATGTCCATTTCTTATATACATTCTGTGGTTCTGATTCAAGAAAATGTTTTCTCTCATGAAATATTCGATATTTGTACTTTTTGGGACATCAAACTGTTAATTAAATCATATTCAGTGCACCATAATTAATGTCTGACGTTTTATTTAAGAGTAAATTGATCCACCACCAGAAATAATATTTAATTTAACATAAAAATTGAGACTGAAAAGTACATGATGACCCGCTCTCCCCTAAAATAGTAAAATCATACTTTCCACCACTGATGTATGAAGTAAGTGAGTTATTGTTATTAATTGATGAATACTTTACATGTATTCTGTTTCTTTGCTCTCATCAGATCCCTGCCGTCCTACAGTGATCTCTTTCGTCACCTGTCTTTTTCCCGCCCACTCACTCACCTGCTTCTCATCTCACTTATTTATAAACCGGTTCGTTCGTCTAGACCGCGTCTGCTGCTTTGTTTCCTCTGCCGGCCTGAACCTGACAGACTGTCTGTGTTCAGCTTCAGGGTTCGAGTCCGTCTCATTATTTATGGGATGTTTGAGATGTTGTGCACACTGATGCACGTGCTTGTTTTTCACTCTCATCTGCTGCATTGCTTCACAATGACTCGTGCATTAGATGAAAGCATTTGTAGCTCAATAATACGGATGCACGCTCTTGTTCAGTGCTACCGGACGCATGCAACATTCTCAGGTACTTGTACTTTACTTGAATATTTCCATTTGATGCCACTTTATATTTGACAGATTTAGATAGTTACTTTTTAAGATTCAGATTAACACTAAATGTTGCTAATATTCAACAATCCACTAATATATTAGGATGTATTATTACAGATGAACTCATCCTTTATTATATTAAATAATTATAAAGAGCTCCATCTTTACCAGCTGCAACATTAAAGTGATAACACTTTAATGCATCAATAATTATATAATAATATAGTATATAATTCTATATTATATCATATTATATTATATTACGTTATATTCATTATATTCAATATATTATATTATATTTATTATATTATTTTAGATCACATTACATCATATTACATTATATTATATTATATTTAAAGTATATTTTGAACCAAAAGTACATGCAGGTTTTTGAACGCAGTGAGTTGTACTTGCAGCAGAGTACTTCTACACTGTTTTCCTGCTACTGTGACTTCAGTAACAGGTCTGAATACTTCCTCCATCATGAGGCGTAGCAGGTGGAACTCACTGATCGCCGATGTAGAGCCGCGGCCACACTTCGTCCGCGTGGTTGCAGGCGGTCTTGCCCGTGCACAGGAGCCGCTCCAGCTCGGACACCGTCAGCGTCGGGGAGACACGCTCGGAGTCCTTTCGGTTCGGAGACCTGGAGCTGCTCCGGGACCGGGAGAACCGGGACATGAACGCCATTTAATCTGAGAGGAGACAACCACCGATTCGCCTCATGAAATGTTAAAGCGATGAACTATGAAACACGTACAGAAGCCTGGAATGAATCGAGTGAAGGGAAATAATGTCATCATTAGAATATTATCATCTTCAGATTATGTAACAAATATTAACCTGTAGCTTTGTTTTGGTGAATCCTCGGCTGCATGTCTGTGTGACTGACACTACAATCCTGTATAATAGGGAATAAAGACGTGCAGTGCTCGTGCTTGTTGTTACTTACCTGTGTGTTGTTGTGGTCCGTGTCTCAGTGCTGCAGGGCGAGCTGCTCCGCGGCCATGTTGACTCGTGTATGTGCTGAGGGAGGATGGATGAGATGAGGAGGCTGCTGCTGCTGCTGAGCCTCCTCCAGCAGCAGACATCTTCTCAGCGCCCTCTCCTTCTCAACAAGTCCTCATCGAGACGCACGTGACTCCACGGACTCGGGGCAAAGTCACGTGCATGCTGTGTGTGTGCATAAATGGAGTGTGTTGTCTGGTGTTGTTATGTTTTAATTCTGCTGATAATAATCGTGGTTATTTGATATGTTTAGTTGTTAATGAGGGTCCAGTGTGACGTTTTCTTTGGTGGCGTTTTGTCGCCATCTTCCGGTCAAATGAGGGAAATCAGGGAGAAAAAATAAACAACCTCACCATGAGGTCCATTCAGAGGTGGAGGAGGAGGAAGTATTCAGATTACTCTCTGAAGTAAAAGTACTCATACCACACTGTGACCATACCCTGCTGCAAGTGGAAATCCTGCAAGTGGAAATATAGTTAAAGTATTCAAAATGTGACTGTTCTACTATTATATATTCTATCAAAAGATTATTATGACTCGTGCGTTAATGTAAAAGCAGGATTTTACTGCTGTAGTTGGTTGATTATACAGTTAATGATGCCATATTTTATTTAATACAATAAATGAGTAAAAAGTACAATATTTAATTTAATTTAATTTAATTTGATTTAATTTGATTTAATTTAATTTAATTTGATTTAATTTGATTTAATTTGATTTAATTCAGAAGAATATAAGCGACAAAACTGGGAATGCGGAGCTTGAGAGGAGGAGGGGCTTGATGGCATCATGACGTCAAATTCCTGCGACGCACGTGTGGTTGTAGTGAGGCGCAGAGATGGCTACTGAGAGGCTTCTGTTCCATGAAATGGGCTTAGACGACCGTCTTCTAAAGGTAACAACCCGTCTGACAGCATCAGTACATGTTTAATAAAGTGTTAGTGAGACGTTGAACCTCGGGCTGAAGAATGTAAACCGAAGAAAAGTGACGTAAACTTGACGTAAATACAGAAGGAGTTCGTCACGTCTGAGCTCGCTTGTCTCGTGTGTCTACTAACTAATACAGATGTAACGTGAATAAAAACGTTAAACCTACTTTAAAACGAATAACCTTGTTTATAATGACGCTTATATCTTTCTCAGCTTGACATTTAAACCTTTGTTTCTGGGATTGAAATGTTCCAACTGATACTTGCTAGTTCAGTTTAGTAAAGAAGTAGTAATACCTCATTGTTAAAATACTACATACGGAGTATGAGATATATGAGGTGTAGTAAAGTAAAAATGTTAATCTCTGTATTAATAATAATATTCGGTTGTGTTCTGCTCGGTGAACTCTCTGCTTGTCGTCCTGGTTCAGGCGGTTGCAGACCTGGGTTGGTCTCAGCCCACTCTGATCCAGGAGAAGGCGATCCCTTTGGCCCTGGAGGGGAAAGACCTCCTGGCTCGAGCTCGGACCGGATCGGGAAAGACCGCCGCCTACGCCGTACCCGTCATCCAGCGCATCCTGGCCTCCAAACAGGTGAGGGGAGAAAAACAGATGTCACCCAGCTGTTCCTCGTCCTCCGGACCGCTCACTGTTTGTTTGTTTGTTGTCTTCAGAGCGTCCGTGAGCAGGAGGTCAGAGCTCTGATCCTGGTTCCGACCAAAGAGCTGGGTCAGCAGGTTCAGACCATGATGAGACAGTTGACGGCGTTCTGCTCCAGAGACGTCCGAGTGGCCGACATCACCGGGAAAGCTGACCTGTCTGCACAGAGGTCAGTCCACACACACATCTATCTCTCTATCTCTCATATTTCACTAGTTAAAACATGTATATGTGTCTATATATATATATTGATGTTGTGTTCGAACAGGCCCATCTTAATGGAGAAGCCTGACGTGATCGTGGGGACGCCGTCCCGCGTCCTCGCCCACCTCACCGCCCAGAACCTGGTCCTGCACTCGTCTCTGGAGACGCTGGTGGTCGACGAGGCCGACCTGCTCTTCTCTTTTGGCTTCGAGGACGACCTGAAGAGCTTGTTATGGTGAGAACATTAATAATCAACATGTTTAATGCACAGCGGCTCAATCTGTTGTCCACTGAGAACCGCTTTGTAAATAAGTTGTTAATGATTTCGATTGATATCTTGTGGGAGGTTTGCATCATGATAATCATTTGAGTCGTTGTGCTTTTTAAATTCCTAATAAAAATATAATCTGATCCAAAGCTGCTCATGCTGTGTTGAAGAAGACTTGAAACTAGAGATTGAGACCATAAACTCATGTTTACAATGTTTACTGAGGTAATAAATCAAGAGAGAAGTAGAGTCATTTTCTCATAGACTTCTATACAACCAGAGGAGTCGCCCCCTGGTGGACACTAGAGAGAATGCAGCTTTAACACATGAAGCAGCTTGTCGCCTGTATTTCGCCACTAAAACGAAGCTTTTCTGTGTATTTTCCAACAGTCATTTGCCGAAGATCTACCAGTCGTTCCTGATGTCGGCTACTTTCACCGAGGATGTTCAAGCGTTGAAGGCGCTGCTGCTGCACAACCCTGTAATGCCGTGTTCAGAGTCTCTTTAGAGGAAGCAGCTGATCGCTGTTACCATGTCGCTGGCTCTGGTTCTGTCCTCACACCTGTACCTGTGTCCTCTCAGGTGATCCTGAAGCTTCAGGGCTCTCAGCTCCCAGACAGCAGCCAGCTGCAGCAGTACAGCATCAAATGTGAGGAGGAGGACAAGTTCCTGCTGGTCTACACGCTGCTGAAGCTGCGTCTGGTTCAGGGGAAGACGCTGGTGTTTGTGGGCGCAGTGGACCGGAGCTACAGACTCAAACTGTTCATGGAGCAGTTCGGTATTCCCGCCTGTGTGCTCAACTCTGAGCTGCCCGTCCAGTCTAGGTGAGAGGAGAGGGGAGTGGGTTTTACTTAAAGGTACTGTGAGGAGCTTTTATCTGGTCCTGAACCAGTCTCAGTGTAGTCCTGATCCTCTATCAGACCTCCATCAGTAAAGAGACCATCAGAGAGAAGATGGTCTGTTTCTATAGAGTTATTCTTAATGCTCGTCATCGGAGGTCAGATTCTGGTGAAACCAGATGAACTCATGCAGGTTCACCAGAACCTCCTTCAGCTCAGACTCCAGCAGAGACCGGTCCACCGCGGACGGACCCAGATCCGGAGCTCCTGAGGGAGGAGGAGAGCTCAGCTCCCGGCAGCAGCGTCTCCTCCTCCTCCTCCAGGAGCAGAGCTTCTCCTCTCTGGGATTCAACACCGACACCACGCTGCTGGAGACCCAGGACATGTTGCTGGACCCACTGGAGGGAAGGGAGGCACGGGAGAACCAGGACTGAGAGGGTCAGACTGTCAGGCCCTGCTGCAGAAGAATGAGAGGTTTTCTAAAGAGACTCTGGTGCTCAGAGACACTACCACTTTAGTCCACAGGGAGCAACACAACATGAAAGTTCCTTGTAGTGACTTTAAGTACATTTTTGAATGCAAGACTTTTACTTGTAATGGTGTATTTTCACAGTTAGTACTTTTGCTTCCGTAAAGGATCTGAGTACTTCTTCCAGCATGTTAATCCTCTTTCCTTTCTGTTCTGGTGGTTTCCTCCTGCAGGTGTCACATCATCACTCAGTTCAACCAGGGCTTCTACGATTACATCATCGCCACAGATGAGCTGAGTCTGGCCGACCCCACTGCTGCTCCGGAGACGGCTGGCAAAGGGAAGAAGAAGAAGAAGAGGAGCACGGAGAGAGGAGGAGGAAGGTGAGTCGAGGGAGGGTCTTGAAGGTCTTTAGACTCCTAACAGAATCTCTATCCGGTTAAGTGAACGCTATGTTGAGTGTTTCCACCTCTTTACCCTGCTGTCAGACACTGAAGCTGTTATCTCTGATCTCTACAAAGACAGGAGCTCCTGCTCTACTGCTGCCTCCGTCTGCTAGTGTGTTCGTGTCCTGAGAGGTAGTCACTGTTTCAGTGAATAGAGTCCGATGTCTGTAGAGATCAGACGTTTCAGTAACATCAGGACATGAATACATTCAGATTACAACTTCAATGAAACCTGCAGAGCACATTGGAGATGGAGCAGATGGAGCAGATCTTCTACAAACACTACTTATTGATACGAGTCATCAGATATCAGATGAGTTGATTAAACAGACTGTAGTGTCATCTGGAGGTCTTTAATGACTGAATGATGTGTTTTTAAAGGACGAAGGACAAAGAGTTCGGCGTCTCCAGAGGCGTCGACTTCCAAAACGTTGCCAATGTCATCAACTTTGATTTCCCGTTAACCGTGGAGTCGTACATTCACCGAGTGGGACGGTGAGTAGAGTTTCAGTTCAGTCACATGTTCATGCATGTCTGATGAGAATCAAATGCTGATGTAAATCTATATTTCATTCTGCAGAACGGCGAGAGCAGACAACCCCGGCACCGCTCTGTCCTTCATCTCTCACACTGAGCTCAGTCTGCTGTCGGAGGTGCAGGAGGCGCTCACAGGAGGTGAAACACACGACTGAACCTCTGATCTGTTAACATGAAGTAGAACTCTGTTTTGTGTGAAGTAAATCCAGTTAGTCCTGACCTCTACGAGAGCTGCTAATGAGCAAGGCACCAGTGTTTAACCCTCACCTTTTAGGAGGAAATGATCATGTTTGTGTTTATATGGAATGTTTGTTGTTTTTAGATAAAGCTGACTCCGGTCTGAAACCGTACGAGTTCAAGATGGAGGAGATCGAAGGCTTCAGGTACCGGTGCAGGGTGAGTATCCTCCTCGTCGTTTGAAGAACACACGATGAAGAGGCTTAAGATGAGCTTCAGCTGATGAACCGGTTTGTGTGCAGGACGCCATGCGCTCAGTGACGAAGCAGGCGGTGAAGGAGGCGCGACTGAAGGAGATCAAACAGGAGCTGCTCAATTCAGAGAAACTCAAGGTGACTGTGTGTGCGTAGGCTTTGTGATTTTGTGTGTGTGTACGCTTTGTGATTGTGATTGTGTGTGTGTGTGTGTGTGTGTGTGTGTGTGTGTGATTGTGTGTCTTGTGTTCTGTCTCTCAGACGTATTTCGAGGACAACCCCAGAGACCTGCAGCTGCTCAGACACGACAAAGACCTCCATCCTGCCGTCATCAAACCTCACCTGAGGAACGTCCCCGAGTACCTCAGTAAGACACTCGAAGTACCACAAGTACTCGTCTGTACTTGAGTAAATGTACTTGGACAGAGATGTCGATCATTCGTAACGCTCCGTCTTCGTTTCCTTCAGTTCCTGAGACCCTGAAGGGCGCCGTGAACCCGCTGTCCAACCGCAGGAAGAAGAAGAAGCTCAAATCAACACCAGAAGGAGTCGTCAAGAGCAGCTTCAAGGTCAGAACAAATGTTTATAAATCTGTTAAAGTTGACGGAATGACATGAAGCCCACTGTGGTTCTCAGTGTCCAGTGAGAATTTAGTTCTGAGAGTTCAAACAAGGCACCACAGCAGAGCGCCATCTGCTGGCTGCAGAATAATGGAATAAAATAATAAAACATAATTCTGGATGAATGCATGACGTAAAACATCCTGCTATCGTTAATCAATATTCTATATTTTAATGTCGGTGGCAGATAGAACAGCTTTAATTGGCTCATGAGCCACGATGTGCGGCTGATTGGCTGTTTCTCTGCTGCGATCTGATTGGCTGTTGTCCAAATACAGTTGCTGTCATTGGCTCGTTGTCAGACGTTAGCATTTAAAAACGATAATAACTTCTCACAAGATCACACAAAAACCTGAGCCGCCGGACGTTGTTATAAACCAAACGTGGTGTAAGGCGGAGTGGTTCTCCAGCTGACTGCTCGCTCGTCAGAGACGACGTCGTGTTATTCAGAGGCTGCTTGTTACCTCGTCAACTACAGACTTTCGGGATCTTTCTGAGAAGATTAACAAACATTAAAGCAGCAGGACGACGCGGTAGAATCTGGCTAAACGTAGCTTCCTCACACTGATGAGCAGGAGAACAGGTAAGTGCTCAGTCGGGTCATCACAGGTGTGTCACTGTTTGGGGAATAAGAAACGGGCACATCGTCATGTTCTGGTTGTGCATCGATGCAGAGTTGTTGTTGCCATTTGTTTCCTTTTTAAAAACGCCACTAAAGTCAACATGATGATAAACTAATAACTCTGAGTCCATCTCAGGCTCTGGGAACCGTTTTCGTCTTAAAGCCCAAATTATGAATCAAATAATTGAGAAAATAGTCGTTAATGGAAATGATGGTTAGTTGGCTTCACCGTAGTTATCTGGTTGATGTTCTACAGAGAATAACATCTGAACTGCACATTAAAACCATAAATGTTTGAATGAAGCAATGCGTTGGAGTCGTAACGTTCATTTTGATGTAACCTCTCGTAGAAGAACATCCAGGTGAAGAACCCTCTGAAGAGTTTCCGGTACAGCGGAGGGAGGAACAGGACAGGGAAAGCCGGCCAGTCGTAGCTGCGGAGCTCGTGAACGTGGATCGTTACCTGTGCACAGACTTCGTCTACAGCGGACAAATATGAACTCAACGGACTCTGGATGACGTGGACGCTGACTTATGTGAACTTTGAAACAAGAGGAAAATGCAAGAAACATCTAACGTATGTGGAGGAATACAGTGTGTGTTTTCTTATTTCTGATGCATCTGTTGTGGAACCTTTGAAAATGTTTGTTAAAATAAATGATTTCTTCTCAAACATTTGTTTTGTAGTTCCAGTGTTTCATATTTACAAAGAGGACATGTTGTTTAGCGCTCCCGCGAAGTCCGTGAGGGTTTAGGGATGTCCCACTGTCACATCAAGTGTTTGAGGCTCTCACAGACATTTTGAGCCCTTTATGAACCCTTTCCGTAAGTCAGCATGGTATGCTGACTTAGCCTAAGGGAATTACCCACAAATCATTGCAGTGTGACGTTAAACACGGGTAACCAGTGGACGCATGAACACGTAAAAAAAAAGAAAAAAAAAAAGGTAAACAAAGAGGACGGATCACGTGTTCAGCCTGTCATAATAAATGTACTCGGAAACATTAAGGGTTAAAGATGGAACAAAAAATAAACATGAACTCAGAAGATATTTATTTATTCATCAAATATTTGATTTTGTCATTGAAGCTGTTTTGACAAAAACGAGTAAATAGATAAGTTACCTCTCATCTTGTGAGGAAAGAGCCTGAAGACGTTCAAATCAAGGAGTACAAAATATAAAATACACACAATCATACATCATATTTGTCGTTTTCATGGTAACGTGATATGTTGCAGAAAAGTGCTGTCCCATTCCTATTTACACCATCTCAAGCCCTCAGTCTCTCTCACTCACCCACTTACCAGGTGACGTCAGTAAGTCCTTGAGGGTTCAGGGTTTGAGGGTTTAGGGGGGACATTGGGATTTGGCCATTGACTTCACTTTTAAGATCTGGAGGTTGTCTCCTGCTGTGTTTTCATAAATCGATGGCGCTGTCCGTAGTGCTGAAGTAGACGAAAGAGTTCTCTGCCCTATCAGCTTCGTACAGATCAATATTATCTTAGCTATAAATAATACACAGACTCAGGTCATTTAGAAAAACACTTTCTTTAACTTTTTTTAATTAAATGCATTCATCAGAACATTAAATCAGTTTAACTGAGGCCAGCAATCGCACTGTAAAGCCATTAAAGGATCATATAGACATACATTTGTAATAAAGAAGTATTTAATATCATGTTTGTGTCGTAACATGCTGTATATTGTTTTATTGAGCCGATGCACATCTGTATAGTCTCTGCTCAGCAGAAGATTTCTATTCCAGATCAATTCTCTGTGAAGAATAAAACACATTTCTCTTATGGACGTTCCCTTAAAATCACATCCATCTCCACTCACGATGACTACGCTGATATGCAAACTCTTACTCCACTTTTATTCCAAATAGGACAATATTCAAAATGTGATATGATTCATGTTCTGAATGAGTTCTTATTGTGAATGGATCATGTTCAGAGTAAAACGTGTGATATGTTGATATTCTTCAGGTTGTAGATCATTCTTTGGACATGTATACATCTCATTCATATATATATATATATATATATATATATATATATATATATATATATATATATACAGCTCCTTCACTATACGAGTCTCTTTCCATGTAAACGGCTTATTATGAATATCTTCTTCTTCAGAATATTTGGTTCATATAAACGTAGTCAATCTTTACCCGACTAGTTGAAACTCTCTGAGAACTAAATATTTAACGTGTTGTGTGTTTTCTTTTAAAGCTGTGATGTTGCAGCAGACTGAAGTGGTTAATAAGGTCTTATAGAGAATGTAGTAATCAATCAATAGTGTATTCAAAGGGATAGTCCTGTGTGGGCACCGAGTCAAAGATGACGCTATCGAACGGGTTCTCGGTCATCCAACTGTCCACCGGAAACCAGGAGTCGTACCAGGAAGTGGTTCTCACGGTCTCCGGTATCGTCGTGGGGGCTGTTGTTGTTGTTGTTGTTGTTGTTGTGGTGGACGGAGTGGTGCTAAGACTGGCTCTTAATCTCTGCTGACGCAGCCGGCGTAGACGCATGATCCGGAGCCTCCTGAGTCGCTCGGCGTTCTGGCCGGCGGAGTGACTGTCGATGGTCGGGGCCGCGGGGCTGGTGGCCGCCGTTGTCTTCGCCACGTTTACTTTGGGCACCAGCCGAATGGGCCTCTTGCCGTGGAGCGCCATGATCTGCTTGATGCGGTCCCAGTTGGATTTGGCCAAGGAGAAGCTGCACGAGGTGGCTCCGGAGTCGTAGCCCACCATGCACAGTCTGGTCTGAGGGGTGTAGCCGTCGGCCTTGGCGGTCACCCTGAACTCCCCGGGGTTTAGCAGCCGCCAGTAATCGCCACCTGCAGCTGAAATGAGTTCGGGAAAACAGTTAGGAGCTGAAGTTCTTGACCATAGAAAGTCTTTATTGTCATCAAAAATGCAAAGAACCCAACATACCGGTTTTGACGTCATGCCGTATTCCCTCTACAGATACGGTGGCGTTGTGCAGCGGAGTTCCCTCCACGTCTCTCACGACACCTTTTATCCCTCGATGTACCTGCACAGGAAACAGTATTTCAGGTCCAACCACAGTACAATCTGAATATGTTTCATTGGGACACATTGGAACAGCTATAGATGAGACTTAAAAGCCCCCTGATAGTTTTATCCTTCACAGAGCAGAGTGGCCAGATCGTTTTCAGAGACGTTACAATGGACTCCAATGCTGATGAGGCCTCACACTGGGGGAAAAACCACAACTTCTACACACCAGGAAAGGGAGCAAACACCCTGGGGCTAAAAATCTTCATAATGCCAATAGAATCCATCACAGACATAGACTGTATGTAAGAAGTTGACGTAGTCGTTGTGACGTCACCCATTGGTTTATGGACTACAGTTTTAAAGGTCTCAAGTTCGACATTTGACTGTCGCCATCTTGTCGCCATCTTGCAGCTTTAACACATGAAGCATCGGCTTCACTCTTCAGAACTGGAGGTTGTCTCTTGATTTTAACCAACATTACTCTAAGCCGACCACGCCAGTTTCCATATGAAGAACAAAATGGCAAAACCCTATTTGTTTTGGGGGGGTCTCATACTTCTAAGTCTAGTTCTCACTTGTTCGATGAAGGACAGCAGAGACTCGCGGTTGTTCTCCCACTCGAGAGGCAGTTCACTCTCATGGGGAAACTTGTCACAGCTCAAGAAGACGGACAGCTCGAAGCAGTTGGTGTGCAGGTAGCTGAAGTCATTCATGCCTGTGGGAGAGGATGAGGAACAGGATGAGCTCTTCGTTTTGATGGGGACCCTCAAACAGATGAATCCGTCCATGGATACCTGCTACCATGCTACTTCTTTGCTTCCCTCTGTGTCAACACTTACTGCCCACCACTGGATCCCAGATGGCCCTGTTGGTGATGCCCTGACCCCCAGTGACGTCGTCTCCATGGCACGAGCCCCGGTAGGTCTCCGTCATGGTCAGGTGGCTGTGGGCGTACGACATGGCCAACCATCGAAACATGGCGTCGTCCGGCGTCTCCCTCAGAGATCCCTCGTTCTGCCGCTGAATGCGAGCCCACGTCTCCTCGTTCATGTCGCCGTTGCTTCTCCAACGCCGGCTATCGGTTGACTTAAACACCATCAGAGGGATGATAGGGTTAATGTCTGGCTGACGAGATCATCTATATGTTTTATTTGGTTCTTCTTTGTAAAACAAAATAGATAAAAAGGCTTACGGAAATTGATGGACGCTGCATGTCAAAAGGGTACGCGACCAGTTTTTCTCCTCCTTGCAAATTGGCTCCCAGCACAAACGGGGTGCGCTCCATCCAGGAAATGATGGATTTTGTCTCCGTACCCAGCTGTGAAAGCAAGAAGCAGAGAAAAGTGTGAATGTCAGCACGTCGTGTTGGATCATAAGTGGTGAACATTTGGTGTCTTTAGACCTCTGAACCACAAGCAGTTTCAGTGTTGTTTTGCTCGGGTCACATTTTACTTTCTGTGGCCTTGATGTTCACTGTAACATAAAGTTCTGCTCCTCTATGGAAACAGAACCATCATGGCTAGAAGTAGAGAGAACTAGAACATGTCTTTAGTGCAGAATAACACAGTTACAATGACATCAATCCTAAATAAGAAAAAAACGCAAGTTGAATTATTTTGATAATTTATTTTACAAAAATTGGAAAACAATGAAATCTATACAGACAACATTTTCCAAAGTACCCACGAGTGTTACCAATGTTGGAAAGAAATCGAGGCTCTACGTGTTGTAAATATTGAACTATTCACATTTTTACAACCTCTTCAGCAGCCTGAAGTTCAGTCAAAGTGTCTCTGGTTTGTTGTCACATGACTGTTGGTCTCAGATGAATCAATCATGACTTCATAGTTTCACTGAGGAGCTCACACTTTAATGTTTTTACAGAATCTGGTTAAAGCAAACGGTTTATTTGTGGCCAGATTCTAAATCAGACATGTAGAATAAAATGTTTTTGATGAAATATCACAAATGTAAGCTTTGTTTCGATGGCTTTATCAGAGGGAAGCGTTAATCACACATGTGATGTCCGAGGACTGTCCGAAGCATGAAAATCTGACGTTAATGACAGTTCTTACAGCTTCTGGCTGTGATAAACGGTGTAGTTTTGGTGATTGTTTAAAGATAATATGCTTTTCAATCCCGCTGGTGGGTTTTGGGGTTCAGAGGGTTTTTTAAAACAGACTCACAGAGCCGTTGAGGAAGTTCTCTGGGAGGGGGATCTGATGATTGGGCACGATGCGAGGGACCCAGCCCCTGTCCTCGGCTCCCCACAGGATGCTGTTGAGGTCTGGGAAGTTCTGGAAGATGTCGTAACCTTCTTCGGTCCAGTGGCCCAGAGCCCAGTTCCCCATCTCCGAGCCCTGGAGGACAAGAAGGAGAAGGTCTACCAGTATTGTAACCCGGTCTCAGCGCTTCAAGGTGCTAGAGTTACATCAACGTTCTGCGGCTTATTTCCTGCCCCATCGTACCATCTCGTAGGCCAGCTCGTAAGCATCGGGGTTGAGCGAAGGCACCAGGTGTATTCTCACTCCGTCCACCAGGCGGCGCACTCTGGGGTTGTCGTCTCTGTACTCCTTGCACAGAAACTGCATCAGCAGGAGGAGGAGCTCTCGACCCAGCGCCTCGTTGCCGTGGAGTCCGGCTGTGTACCGAAATTCAGGCTCACCTAGTGGATGCAGAAACAGAAAAGGAATATCACACATTGAGACGGGTGGTTGTATGACGTTCACACACTCGGTTAGTTCTGTCTCGTACCCGTCTCGTGCTCTCCGGGGTTGTCGGAGATCTCCATGGCGTACATCTTCAGGCCCTGAGAGCTTTTACCGATGTTGTAGATCCTGGTGATGTTGGGACACTCTTCGTTTATCACCTTCATCATCTGGAAGAGAAACAAAAGTTTCTGTGACATCGTTCTTTCCAGAATCATAACAACAGTTTATCATCTTTTTATCAGTCGGAATCAGGCGGCAATCTCCGGTTCTGTCGAGTGAAGTCGATGCTTCATGTGTTAAAGCTGCATTCTCTCTAGTG